CGTTGCGTTGGATTCCGGAGCGGCCGCTCCCCGAGACTTCCGGGCTAACGCCCGGTTACGGGGGGATCTTCTACGGCTGTTTCGAGGGGTCAACTGCGAGAGAATAGCCCTTGTTTTGGGCGGAGAAACGTTTGGCCGGCGACGAACCTCCGAACTGTTGCGACGCATCTTCTTAGAGCCTGGTGAAGCATTGGCTGCTTCGGGTATAGCACGTTTCTTGGCGGCCCGTGTATTCGACATTGGGAAAAAGGGGCGGTGTTCTTCAATTTCTGGATACGAAGAACCTGCAGCTATAACAGCATGTGAAAAAGTTGGCCGGCTGGCCTAAAGGCCACCCATTACAGTATTGGTGAATATCAATGTGAAAACGCCCACAAACGTACTGTGAATGGCCACGACTCTTCCATTTTGTTAGAAAATTCCTGTTCGGGGGTGCTTGAATGAGTCGTTGGACAATAGAAATCTCCCCGGAGAATGCTTGGATTGCGGATATCTGGGGTATGCCCAGACCGAATCCGCGCTCGCCACACGACAAGGCTATTTCCCGTCCGAACCATCTCAGAGATCGCCTATCGCGTATCTTCGACAAGATAAGTGGCGTCCGCCTTGACAGAGGAATGCAACGCCTTCGGGCATGCCGAGAAAGAGAAGCGCTGCCTCTACCGAATGATTTCGTCGAGGTTCTATGGATGTTGGAAGACGATGACGACGAAGCAACGTGGTGCAGCGCGCAAGTAACGGATATTGAGGATGCTCCCGCCACGGCCGCAAACGATAAGGTTCAGGTGTTGGCGACAGGTACTATGGAATACGAGGAGAAGGCTGCATACGGTGATCATATTCATCAAGTGGAATTCGTTGTTGGCCGTTTATTGAGACGCGCGGAGCTGGATGGAGACGAGAATAAAAATCCGGTACTGACATGGCGGACGCTAGTTATTCCACAGGCTCATGACGGGATGGATGAAGCGGATAGAGACTGGACTGGAGATGATATTGCAAAAAACAGTAAGAGGCGGAGAGTTGTTGACCAGTACCGGATGAAAGAACTCGCAGATATCGTTGATCGACTGAGGAAAAGCCATGCACAAGTACTTGGCCAAGTAGACATGCTAAATCGGAAGGTCGAGCTAAACAGTTGTCGGATATCGGAGGGGCTGTCGTCGACAAGGGATGAGTCCGTGCTGGAGATAGTGAACTTTCTGCGCCACCGCCTGGAAGTCGCAGTGCAGAAGTCGCTGCGTAAGCCGTCAAGTCATATTGAACAAACGTCGGCCGACAAAATGAATATAGGGACCTTATGGGGTATGACGCAGAGCTTCATTCGGGTCGTTGCGGATTGCGAGCTGGCAGATTTTGAGTTGATAGCGAGGAATCTATACGGCTGCATGGTCGAGGACTCGACATTGCGCCTGGTGTTCTATCCTGAGTATGCAGAGACACAGGGCCCAGCCGGGACATCGCAGACATTCTACATACTGTTCAATCGCATGGCAGGGCTTTGTTCATTTCTGGGATTATACCATAAGGCGGACCGTCTTGCGATGTTGAAGAAGGAGGGCAGTGCGGGGGTCGGAATGTTGAGGTTGATGGGTACGTATGTATATTCGAACGATGTCGGGGCCCCCGCTGCAGGTTTTGTAGGGCACAGTTGCGGAAACACCTTCGAAAGGGATGTTGCTAACCCCGGGAGCGGAGAGCTTGTGTTGTTCAGGAACAACCGCATATGGGACTCGGAAAGCAAGACCTTCGATGCAGGCCTGCGTTGTACTAGGCGGAGGCCGTCCATAGTGGAAGACCCAAATGTGTCAAGCGCAGTTCCTCTGCCCAGTCGGGCTTTTCATTTGGTGTGGCGGAGAGCGCAAGAGGTTTCCGGGCACTGGTCTAAGAGGGACAGGAAAAGGCTCGAGCGGCCGCCAGTGTGCTGGAAAGTATGCCATATGTGATGTTTGTGGGGGACTCGCATTGCGCGGACGCGCGTCGAGAGCTGAACGAAGATGCGATGAACGAAATTGTCAGTCCGGTGCACCCGGGAACTGTTGGTCAACAGGATGTGCCGGGTTCACCCAACACCGCTGGCGGTAATGTATAGTAATGTAGTTTACGGCTACTAATAAACGACGCTGCGATACATTTACACTGAAGCGATCTCGAGCAATGAACTAAGCTCCTTCCCATTTTCCACACGTGGATGGCCACACTATGCAGCTTCAAAGTGTTGGTGCGCACCAGTACAATATCAGCCTGGATCTAGTAGAAACTAACAGATATCCGTCCTATACTATATTTTACATTAAGAATGGCTCATCAAGCTTGACCAGCGGTAGGTTTGATACGATCAGAAAAGTGTGCTGCGCGCGCGCCAAAAAATCTAAAACAAATTTCGAACCACTAAATCTACCGGGCCATTCTAAAAAATCATTTCAGATATTGAAAATCTGACCTCGTAGTGAGTCGAGCTGGACGTGTTTGTTGAACGATCCCAATATCCTTGAAAATGATATTTTCCTGGAGTTTGCCGGTCTTCCAGTTTGCTTACAACTTGAGCAGCGGCTATCTGCTTTCCGAAGCGCTTGTTCAAGCATTGGTGTCAATACGTCACCACGCTGGCAAAGCGTCTTCATATCTTCGAAAGATAAATGCGAGTACCCATGGAGCTTGGAGGCAAATCTGCCCGCGATTTTGCCATAGGTAAATCGTTTCTCCATGTGGTCTGTTCTGCTCTCAGTTGATGATGCGAAGGAAGACACAGATGTGAAGAAAGTTCGAAAGGATGAAGTTTTCGAAGGGACAACCAAGAGATACGTCCTGACAGCATCCTGATAGGACGAAGAAGTGGGCTCAATGTATGTTTGAAAGCACAGTTCCTTCGCTGACAGGCCTCGGACTTTTGTGGGAATAACTAGGAGGTTCTTGGGTCCGAGTTGATATGAACTGATGGAGGATTTCATTTCCTACGAGCAGCGTTCCATTTCCTTTTGTCACATAGAATGGAACTCGGACATGGATGCCGGACAAATCGATGAGGGGTAGATCCCGGACTCCTATAGTGAGTTGAGCGTCGCTACAGTTCTCGCCGTAACCATGAAGAAAAGGCTCTCAGTCGAGCGGTCGGAGATGCAATGGCATATCCAGTGCCTTGCAGAGTGCTGCAACTGAAGTGATGCCACCTACGCTTCGCAGACATCCCGGATCAATAATGGGATTAGGGTCCATGAAGGCAGGTTGTACTTGTGAGGGGGCTCCGGGTTGCGAAATTAGGCTGATCTGCCTTGACCCATTCGGGAGCCTTTCCGAAAAAAACCTGGTCCGTTTGATCCAGTAGGAGGGCGGTCGGCGGTATTCTCCGACTGGCGAAGCTTCTTCTTTCGAGTGAAGGCACTTGGCTCTCTACAAATTTCGTCGCCACGATAGTGACCGGTCTCACCGCAGTCGTAACAAATAGCGCTGTTGCCTTGCGCTCCATTCCAAGACCTCTTCTGTCTGTTGTGAAGAGAGCTCCCGTTTCCTTTCTTGGATCCGCGTTGATAAGAAGGGACTCCTGATGTCTTTGACAGGTTGATGCCACCCAAACAAGACAACACTGGTGCCGTAGGGGTATTGGACTGCGAGGTAAGGAAGGTTCTGACCTTTCTGTCAACCATGGCCTGAACATCCTTCATTGAAAACTGGGGGGAGTCCATAGTCGACGTTTGGGTCAAATTGCGGAGGACGATAACCGCATCGTCTAAAGGGAGACGACAAGACTTGTTCTGAGACAAGAAACGATCGGCAACACTTGTTATGACCGAAGCGGCTTCAGTGTTGACCTTCATCTGCTTCACGACCTTGTTCAGTTGGCGACAAATGCTGACGTTTTTCGAGCGGTAGTCCATGAGTGCTTTCTTAAAGTCTGCAGACGACATGTCGGATTCACAAATTGGAGCATCAAGACTATGAAGCTGGTCGTTCAGCTTTTGAAGTTCCAACAGACCTTCCTTAGGAACTGACTCGATAGAAGCAGCATCTTTTTTCTTCTCCTTGGAACGTGCTTCGGCGTGCGAAATTAGCTGGAGCTTTGCGTTTGTCAGTGTTCTGTCCTCCAGATTGGCATTATTGAGCAAAGTTATGGCCAAAACTTCCCCTATTTGGGACGAGGAGCATGCATTGGAGTGTAAAAGATGCTTCGCAGCGAGGCCTCAAAATCTTGATACGAAGGTAGAGAGCTTTTCACTTCGATCTCTCCTACAGGATATCACCTTTTGGTATGAGGATATAAGGCGGGTGAACATTGAGATGGGAGGATCTACAGCCACAAGTTTGACAATTTGTAAAGCTGCTTCAACCGGATCTTCCATCTGCAAGTAGTCCACTTGCCCTTTCGATTGAGCTTCATCAACGATGGCCTTTTGCGCATCGGGAAAACCGCAATCGTAGAGTGTTCGCCCCAAGAGCTTGAAGATAGTTTGGAAGGTCCTATCTGTGCCTTCTTCATGCGCCACTTTGAGAGAGTCCGCCCATTGACCAACTCTCTTGCGCCATGACTCTAGGTCCCCATCCGGTGAGAAGACAGGTGGATCGAAGAAACCGGATAATTTTCCTGACTTTCCTCCCGGGCCCATAACTATGGTAGGCGGGAGTGCACAAGGATGTTAGTAGCACTGCTGGAATGCGGTCGCGCGTAGCGGCGAAGGATAACAGGGGAAGAGGGAGGCGAACGTTGGGGATTTCGCCGACGGGGAAAGATCGTCTCGAGATGGTGCTCGAGAGGATTGGCCGGCGAGAGGAGAATGGGTAGCGGATACCCCCGGGGAATCAGATGGACGCCGGACTTGAGCCCTCTATTTATTCGCCGCCGCACCAGCGGCGACCACAGTACAGCCACATTAAATTTAGATGTTTTTCGGGGCTACCCGCCATCGGCAGACTGTCCCCTCCATCACACACACAAATTTTATCATATTCCCAAATTGAAGAATAAAGGATTGGTCGAATAAAGGTTTGGTCACTGACTGTCTGAACTACTGGAATAGCTTCACACTGGTTCTGAACGAGATTACCAGAGGGAGAGATCTTCTCAATGTTGGCCATTGCTGCTCAGTGTCCTTCTTACAACGTTTCATGCTTCCATCAGTCTAAACGCGTGAAAGAGGTCACGGGGCCTGTGTCTGGTCCGGTTTTCTCCGAGACTTCTGCTGCTCCGCTTCGTTGGATACATTCTTCTACGACCACATCCATCGCGTGAAGATGACTTCATCGCCCTCCCAGAGATCCACCAAGCTTTCATGTGAGCTATGCACGGTATGCATCTAGAACTTCTGAATATCGGGGCTCAATCCGTATCTGTTCCTAGACCCTAGACCTTAACATAAAAGTTCAAAAGACAGACGAAGAACAAGGACTTTGCGCAAAAACAGGGCATGTTGATGTCTGTGATGGCTCTTCATTTCAATGACAAAGGGCTGATGAAGATATTAGACTTCCTTTTTAAGCTCAGGTTCTTCCATATGAATCAGCGGGGCACAATTCATTGAAATGCGACATAGCAATCGAGCTACTGTATCAGTTAATGATGTCAACCATCCACACAACAACGAATGGGGTCAAGCACGTCACATCCACGCGGGTCGTTACGTCGATGGTGCATGTGTTTCAATGATAACACATTCGCATGAACGTCCGCCTATTCTGTAAGGTGCGGTGCCAGTACTACGTCTACACATTAAACTACACTTGCGGTCTGGATTGAACAACATAGAACTCGCCGTCCTTGAAGCATCCTTCGATGTCCTGCGCAATGCCGCCCATTGTTTCCTCAACTTCCACGCCAATCTTAGCAATACCTCTCATCAAGAAATTGCGAAATTCGTCGTCCTTCATTATCCTTTCCTCTGCGTAGTCAATATGGACAGCCCCGTTCTTAGCGAGTGGAATGGAATCGTGAAGGCCGGCTCCAGCAAATCCGTCTAAATCTTCAGCGTTACTGTCCGAGCGGAAAATGAACTCTCCGCCAACCAACGCGATCGGCTTGCTGGGGTAGCAGCGCACAATCGGTGTTACGGTATCCAAGTCTTGATCTTTCCTTACGGTGAAACCCAAGGCCTGGCCTGGTGCATTACCGACTAGTGTTTCCCCAAGCCCAATCACAACCTCGGCGTAAATCTCGTTTTGATCACCTGTTAAAGGATTAGTGGTGTGTATGACGAAAGCGAAATCTGCGTCTATGACTTTTTGACATAAAACCGCCATTTCCACATCATCAGCACTAAGCTTCAGTTTATAACGCGCGAGGTGCGCCCTGTCATTCCAAATGCTTGCCCAGACTCCCTTGATGGCTGTCCAAGCACCTGGCAGAGACTCATCAATCGTTTCACAGCCAAGGTCGTCGAGTACACCTCGCAGGGTCTCTTTCAATCCGTCGGGAGATTCCAGGCTCAAGATCACATCCTTAATCTTCTGACAGAGCTTCACCTCTGCCCGAAGATTAGAGATGTGATCGATGGATTTGGCTACTGGTTTGGCTGCTGCAATCTCTTTTTTCAAGCGCTCATACTCCTGGAACAAGTCCGAATTTGTGTCGAAATTCATTACCTTTCGCATCGCCCCGTTCGGGATAGCCACCGAGGGAGGGGTTTTGATCCAGTCAGGTAGACCGAGGGCTCTCAGCCTTTGCAAGTTCAAAGATTTCGAGCCAACCAATTCAGTGTTAAATTCCGACGGACGAATTGCCCACGGAGCAGCAGTTTGTCGAAAAGAAACTGCCTTCTTCTTCTTGCCAAGTTCTTGCAACGACCGGTCACTTAGCTGCTTCATGAAGCCAAAAGCATCTCGGGCCCTCAGCTTATCTTTAGAGGCAACAAGTCCTCCCGGTGGTGACATCAGACCACTTGGAGGCGTGATTAGGCCCGAAGACTTCACCCTTTTCATGACAGGTTGAATACCAACGCTCGGATGCATGCGCCCAGAGTCATCGATGATATCAACTACAAAGTCTTCGCCAGTCAGTTTGGCTTTAACAATGCAGCCGTGAAGTAATCGGAGTTCAGCCAACTTCTCAGCATCCAGACAGGCTACAAGCCCGTGGTGTTCGTTGCGGGCACGAACGGCAACATGGGATAGGACATCGACAGAAGAACCAATGACCACGTATGCGGTCTTTTCTGGAACATCCTCATCGCCATCACATGTGTTTGCTATGACAACGGTTCCACGCTTAAATTTCGCTCCTTCAGACTCACGCAGCTTGTCGAAGACAACTACTGGCCCCTTTGTTTCCTTCTCCAAAGGAGAAATGACGGAGAATGGACCAAGTTGTGCAACTCGGCGTACGGCTGGGTCTGCCCTTCTCAGCAGGTAAGACAGTGAATAGGCTGGACCACCGCGAACAGCTTCCTCAATGAAAGTGTCAACAATGTGCCTCTCACCATGAAAAGCCATTCCCAAGCATTTGGCCAGTGGCCCCAATTTTCTTGCATATCGATCAACAATGTCGGTCAAAGCGTTTCTCATGATTGACATTGCAGCTGCTGCCCTGAGCCCGACATCGTGGGATTCCCCTTGCTGACCGAGTCGATCTATGACAGCCATTGTATCGTTTATTGCTCTGTCAAGTTCCCCTTCTGTGTTCTGCCCTGCTTCGGAAATCTTCAAGGCAGTAGCTGCTGCTCGGATGGCTGTGAGATGAGACCATAAAGTCCCGTCATGGCCGACACCATGCGTACCTTCCAGTAAGCGCCTGGATTCCGATTCTATGGCCAAATCCAGGAAGATCATGTCACGCCTCTGTTCATCACTCAAGTGGTCCGAGAACGTGACTTGATTGGCAACCCCCTTTCGCGCGTGCGCAACAGAGCGGAGGATGTCCGTTATGGTTGATCCTGAAGACCGCGCGTGCATGAAGCCATTCACTTGGTCCCGAACCCCTCCGTCAAGGAAACCCTGGCATCGATGCACAATTGAATTCAAGTCCGTACCGAGATGGACTTGTCTCAACAGATCCCCGTACCTACCAAGCTCATGAAGCATCGTGCCCTTCAAGTGCGAAGGATGGTCTGGCTCAGCAGTAATAGGTTGCTCATACGCGGCCATCCTTTCCTTGTTCAAGCCATTGGAATAAATGACATGCCAGTATGCTCCCATGTCACCGTTTGCGTTCCAAAACGCAATGAGGGCATCACAAATGATGACATCATCCGGGCTTGTATTGTTGTGAAGCTTCTGATGCCACTGTTCCATCATGGAACCATGTTTCCAGTCCCTGTGGTGTCGAAGGATTACAAGAATATCGTCACGGATCCGTTGACCAAGGTCTCCAGAGCCACCGCGGCCAACGCAGGACATGACTAAACGAGCTAACCATCGAACTTCCGGCACGTTCTTGAACTTGTTCGCAAGAAGCGTGACGAGGGAGAGTTGCGACCAGCTGAGTTGACGAGGCTGAGTGTTATACCTCCGCTGCCAGTCGAGCACTCGAACTTGAGAATACCTCATCCATACGTACAGGGCACCCCAGCAGTCCACATCTGTTCCAATAACAGAGTCAACTAGATGCCGGGCGTATCCATATCTGTGCATTAGGGTCCATGAACCGTACTCCATCTCTCGTTCAATCACGCCCTCCAACATTGACTTGCACAGATCTGTAACATCGTCTTTCGAGGACAACCCAGGGAGTGGCGGCGGAGGAATCGTGGGTATGAAGAGATCCCCGCCCTGCGCCGCTTTGATCCACATCAAATGGCTAGGTGCGGACGGTGCATGAATGACTGCGAAGATCCCGAGAACTTCCAGGGACAAGTTCTTGATGATAGCGATGCGGACACCAGACGAGCCATGTGGTTCCAATTTGGTCTGCACTGCCTTTCCATCGTCCGTGGCATTAGTATTTGGGGGCCAAGCGTCCGGCTTGGGCGCATGCCATTCTGAGTTACGGCCGTGCTTAACACCCCAGTGTAAGAAAACATCCGAGCCTTGGAGCGCGAGTGTCGACACGACATGAATGATAGATGAACTCTTCTTCCCTGGCACCTCATCCTTGCTTTCACCAGGATTATCGTCCTTTGGAATGAGCACGCGAATCAATAAGCGGCCAAACTCGTAGTCCTCATCCATGCTCTTGAAGATTTCCATACCCATGACGTCTGTGGCCTTCTGCAAATACGTATCGGCCTCCTCCTCCCTCTTCGATTTCATATCCTCCTCCATCTTCTTGATTCTCTCCTTCTCCTCCTCCTCTTTCCTGACCCTCTCCTCCTCTTCCTTCTTTTCCCGGTCTTCTCTCATCTTGGCCTCCTCCAATACCTTGACCCTCCGCGACTTCTCTTCTTCGCTAATCGCGTTCGTCAGATCCACATAAAAGCTCCCGCCATCGATGCGTTTGAACCACTGTCCCTTCCACCCGTTGCCCTCTTGAATGAAAACCAGAAAGACAATACCCGCGGGGGCGTGCTCCTCCGGAATATCCCATTCCAGGACGCCCTCGTCGTCAAACGGGGTCTGCAAGCTGGGCTCGCCGTGGCGCGGTTCCTGTTTCGGGGGCCAGATTTTCTGCGGCGGGCGAATGTAAACAGAGCGGTCATCGCCTTCGTTGAGGACGACACCCCAGTGCATCATGAGGGGCTCGCCGGCTCGCTGGATCGGGGGCCCATCGCGGACAAGACGTAGACGCAAGTTTGGGGAGGAATCTTGGGGGGAGACGGTGACGGAGAGCTTGAGGGGGTGGGCGATGATCTCTGATGTGTGCTTGCAGTCGGCGGCGAGGGTGGTAGCCGAACCGTTACCGGCGCCCATGATGTGATGAGAGGAGGCCTACTGAGCGTTGCACGAAGCAAGGGAGGAAGTGAAGCGTGAGCCAAATGTTAGGGGGACAGTTCGATGTGTCTCGAAGGTGTTAAGGGGCCGAGGGGAGGGGGAGGGGCGGTGTGATCTTGAAGGGTGTGCGGTGGCTCGGGCAGATGGGCATGCTTTGTGCGGGTTGCTGGCAGTGGGGGTAGTGGCGTTTGGTTGGTCAGACGCGAGATATTTCGATATTTGGTGGCGCATTTCTTGAGTGCATCGCGAGCTCAAGGCAATCGTTGGACTCGTTGTGGGGCTCCATGTTTGGCTGGAGGGTGCCGGCAGTCTCATACCGCAGCTGTAGATACCTTTCGTCGATTGACTGGGTTGAACGCCTCCCGCTGATGTGATGGAGGCCCGCTCAATGGTGGAAATTGGTGGGAATTTTCCGGTCTACTTTTGTGCAAATATTTGCTTGGCCCGGTCATGACACAAAGGAAAAGGCTGCCTCCCTGCGTAGATGTATTGCCGGGTGATCAACCCCAGGCTTATTCCGATCTTGCTCGGCGTCAGTCTGTTTTTTCCGACTGCTCTATTCCTATGGTGATTCATTTTTGTGCTGCTACGATTGCATCAAGAATGAACTCTCCGACGTCCTCGGGCTCCCAAAGAAAAGGTTTTCAATACCCCATGGCAAGATTATCCGAGACACTTCGTCCTTCTTACTCACAACTTATTTCTCGGGCCTGCGTCTTCGAACATCACGAGGCAACCTCTATCTCCCATAGCTTCTATCTCAGCCTTCTTTCGTCAATTATTGACACAATGCGGTCTTGAGCTTGAAACAATCTGCAATACCTATCGACAAGTCTCATATTTGTCCAAATCATGGCGGCGTTTTCAAGGTCCTGCGCTCATACTGTAATCTCATCCCGGACTACTTGTTGGAATTACTTTCAACCATTGATATCTGCGCTAGTCTTTGTCGCAATTTTGATGCCTTCATCATGCAGCTTATTTGTATTCATGAAACGACGGGGCTCAATATACTGTAGAGCAACCTTTGCTCGTCTCTTTGCCTCACTCATACAAACTAATATCATTAGAGAGACATCTGCCGCACGACAGTGGTCCACTGGTCCACACTTGTACTTATTTCTTTTTGTGCACACATCATTCGCTGCGGCGTCCAAGAGGCTTCCTCACTATGATTTATTAGTTCCGGATGCCGACATTCCTCGTAGGTGTGCCGCATACCGCAGGTTTTCGACTAATGTTCTGCGAGTACTTTGAATCTCCCAGCAGCACATCTACTGTACATTACTTGTTTAGGTACATTACGTTCCACAGGCTTCTGAGCTGCGGTTTTGTTCACAAGAGCTGTCGACAGAGCTTTTGATTAGAGCCTGGGGTGAACAAAGCCTACAAGGAGTGTGTCTCTGCAGCCGAATAAGTCGATGCCCCAAGAGTTCGAGATTACCCGTGGTAGGATGATCGAAAGCACCGAAACCATGCAAGGTGCGCCGCACTCTCATCAGCTTGCGTGCCCACTGTCACTCTATGTGGCATCCATTACAGACAGATGGTTTAGTGCACAAAGCCTTGTGCTCAAGCCAGTGGAACTATCCTATTTACCGCAACACACCAAGCTTTCGACTTGTACAGTTTTGTATCTAAACCTATCAACCCGACTAGTAATCTTACTGTAAGATGACGTCCCGGCGGTACAGCCATGCTGCCACGGTTTTATACTCGCCGTCGTCCCGGCTCTTGGGGCCCAATGAAGTCCTGAAAAGCACTGCTGATGTCCTTCTAGAAAGGGAGCGCATGTCATTCTTTTTCACCTTCTCCGACGCGGAATCTTCGTACTCACGGTCGTGAGTCCTTCGTTCCAATGGTGATATCATTTCTACCCAGGAGAAATGGATAAAAGTGACTACAGGCGCTCACCCGCACATCATGCAGAGCATCTAGCTCAGGTTAAGACAAGTGCAACCCGAGGCAACAAGAAAACGTTCCGACACCAATGGCTGCAATATCTGCATCTCACGAGCTCCAACTCACGGTAGCTAAAGGACGGCAGCGTACCCGTCCGCGCGATTATCGGACCCAGCTTCGACTACATCTTCCCCTCTCCTAACGATAACCTGGCCACGCCCGAAAATATGCCGCTCCCCAATCCGAACTTCATGCCCTCTCGAGGTCAACGCCTCAACAACATTCTCTCCTATTTCCGGCTCTACAAATACAGCGTCATCTCCCATGCCCACCTCAACAGCGGAAAATGCCCCAGTTACGCGAAAGCGCGAGTGATCGAGTGCTTTTTGCGCATCAAGTCCCTCGTCGACAAGCCTCCGAATTACTTGCACATGCCCCTGTGGCTGCATGAAAGAGCCCATCACGCCTAACACGGCGAACAGTCCACCATCACCCCTTGTCATCAAAGCCGGGATGATCGTGTGATACGGCTTCTTCCCGCCATGGGCAGCATTCGGATGGCCCTTCACTGATGAAAAGTTTAAGCCGCGGTTGTTCAAACTGAAGCCCATGTTTCGAGGAACCAATCCCGTGCCGAAGGGCATGTAGTTGCTCTGAATCATCGACACGGCATTCCCTTCCGCATCCACTGCACAAAACTGTACCGTGCCCCCTGAGGGCCATTTTTCATCGCCATCGCGGAGTTCGCATAATGTATTATCCCTCATTCGAGCCCTCAGCTGATCTGCGTACTTCTTGCTAACAAGGTCGCGAGTCCTGTCGGGCATGACCTTGGGATCTGCGATAACCTTAGCTGCTTCAGAGTATGCAAGCCTCAAAGCATCGATCATAATGTGCGTGGCACGGCCCTCATCGCTGAGCTCCTCCGGCGTGTAGCCATCAAGGATATTAAGGGCCATAAGAGCTACAACGCCGTGGGTGGGCAAGCCGGTTTCGTACACAGTATACTCCCTAAAGCGAGTCGCCAATGAGTCGCGATCTTCCGTGCGATGCTTGGCAAGATCCTCGAGGGTCATTACGCCGCCCATTGCTCTTACGACAGCAACGATGGCACTCGCGACGGGCCCCTCATAAAAGCCACGCTTCCCGGTCTTGGCGACGCGGCGTAGCGTGGCGGCCAAGCCCGGGGCGCGGAATACCTCTCCAGAATGCGGGGCGCGCCAACTGCTTCCTTCCGCGATAAGCAGCTCTTTCCCCCCTCTCGCAGCGCGTAGTATAGAGGTTGAAGCCTTCCATGCATCTGCAGTTTGCGGGGCGACGGGAAATCCATTAGAAGCGAGATCGATAGCAGGTTGGAGCAAATCGGCCAGGCTGAGATTGCCGCTTCCATGGCGTTCGATCATGTCCGCCCACAGGGCGACTGCGCCGGGGACTGTGACGGCGTGCGGAGAGGATGTTGCGACTGGAGGCTGGAGCAAACCAGGGGTGAGAGCGGCAGGGGCAGCGCCGTTGCCGTGCATGGCGGAGACGCCGCGGGAGGAGGCCTTGTAGACCAGGGCGAAGGCATCGCCGCCTATGCCATTGGAACATGGCTCTGTAACAGCGAGGGCCGCTGCGACGGTGACGGCAGCGTCGACAGCATTGCCGCCGCGCAAAAGGGCGCGCAGGCCCGCAGAGGTGGCGAGCGGCTGGGAGCTGGCGACTGCGGCGCGGCCGTACACGGCTCGGCGGGATGGAGTGGGGACGATGACCATGGGGTGGAGGGGTTAGAGTGTGGAGATGGAGGGGAGATCGACGTGCGGAGGCATCGATGCGGGGGGGAGGGAGCGGGAGGGGAGGACCTGTTGTGGGGACTGGAAGGAGAGGTTGGTGAGGTTGTATCGCATCGACTGGTTGACCGGCAGGTGTGAGATCTCGGCGCATGCTTATCACACACTCACCTGCTCCTCACGACGTTGTCATACTGTACGTCCATGTCCAGCCGCGCCCTATTTTTATACTCGTCCCGCCCCGCCTGTCCCGCCTGGCTCTAGAGCTGGAACGGGTTCTCCCCGGAACGGGTTCTCCCTGGTTGTAATAAAGTTTTTTATCATACGCGATATGCACCGTGATTTTAATACAATTCTCAATAAACTCAATTACAATACGTAGGGGCAAAAGAAGCCATTTAACTTAATGTGTACCTTATCATATACCTTACATCTTTATTTACGACAGAGCTAAGACCCAGAACTGGCTGGCTCTAGAACTGGCTGGCTCTAGAACTGGCTGGCTCTAGAACTGGCTGGCTCTAGAACTGGACACGTGTCTCCTGTCCATCTCCATGCAATCAAGCACCGTGCATCGCAGCCGCAAGAACACGGCACTACGGTACCCTTGGTACAGTACCCAAGGCTAGTTCCATCACGTCGAGCCGAAGGATACTGTACCTTCGTGCGTGCGGATACAGTACCAACCACGAGCCCTTACCTTCTCGCTACTGTACACTATTGGACTCCCATCAGTTCCCACTCTTCCACGGAACATCTATTTCATCGATACACTTGAAAAGGCAGTGTGAGTCGAAACCCCGCGGAACAGCAAACGAAATGCCTCCCCGCCTTTTGGATGCGGCTCTTCCTCGACTCTCATTTGCATGCGGTCCAACCTATTGGTTCAATCTCCTCGACTCGCTGCACAAAACGCCCTTCTCCTCAAGCACAAATAAGCTTAATACCCTCCCCTTCATCTCCAAAACTCAGCCAATAGTCGATATCCCGTGACTCATCTTCAACCTCCTTGATATCCCCCCCTACCTGAATGAACACCTCCTCCGTCACGCCCTTAATCCTCAGCAATCGGTTCGCAATCCGCTTCACCCGTTCAATCGTCACATTCCTCGGAACATGCCGAGTCACACACTGCCGCCCCGCCCCCGCTTTCGCAGTCGCTTCCATCTGCACTTTAATGAGGTCGTCCTTCATAGATCCCGTCACTCCCTTGCGCCCCGCACCCATTCCACCGTTGTCATCCAACTCGAACTTTGCCCACAGCTCCTCCAGCCGGGGGTTCTCCAGCTTCGCTTGCGCCATACCGCGTGCGTTTGCTCCCGCTGCGCACACCTCAATCACATACTTCTTTTCTGCATACAGTCGCTCATCCTCAGATATACTCGACCCGTCCAACAACTGCATCTGTCCAACTCTTGCGATCGCGTGCATCCGCCCCGTCATAACTAAAACCCCACACTTCAGACTCTCCCGTTCCACGTCTTCCTCGTCTGCCATGACAGGGTTCCCGGCCAAGCGCAACTGCCTGAGCGCCGGCAACGCGTGCAGTGCCGTGACCACGCGCCACCCGTCCAGCTTATTCCCTGCCAAGCTCAAAATTTCCAGCCGTCTGAACACGGCCCCTCCACCCGCCTCGGTCGCGAGCAGCGCGTCGCAGTCCTCCAGTCCATTCCTGCTGAGGTACAGTTCCCTCAAGTGCGGCAACGCGCCGAGGTGGCTGACCACCGTCGCCCATGACACACCGTTCTGGTCTAGGTCCAGCAGCTGGAGCCGTGCAAACGTCTGCACGAAAGCCTCGGGCTGCTGTAATGACGTGATCGAACAGTTGTACACGCGCAGTTCGCGCAAATTTGGTGTCCGCCCGCACAGCGTTCGTATATCCTTCCACGCCACATTGCAGCTATTCATGATCAAGGTGTGTAGGCAGTCATGCCTTGCCCCTTCGATCGCCTCCGCGGGCGAATCGCTTCCGCCCAACACGTTGCGCGACACGTCCAGCACGGCCAACTTTAAAAACTCGTTGAGTATTTGGTGCACAAACCGCATAGACTCAAACAGCGAGTCCGCCAGACGTAGTTCTCGCATCGCGACGAGCAGGTCTCCCGGCTGCTTCTCCTCCTCCAGCCCCGCAGCGACGCCCAGCCCCGATAAGTCGACAAACTTGAGGCGTCGCATCGGCAGCATGCAGTCCCCAAACCGAAACTCGACCTTGCCACCGGAGCCGCCGATCTCATGGCGCTGCTCGCGATAACTGGTGTCGGAAGCGTCTGTGACGTAGCGTTGCCTCAGCGCGGCCTCGAACGACACGCGGCCGGCCGCGCCCAGCTTGGACTTCTTGATGAAACTGGCGGAGCCGGGGCGATCGACTTGGAAGTATTGGACGCCGTCGACGGCACCTGAGTGCTTCCCGCGCGTGTGGTCGTCCCATTCCAAGCCGACCCAGGTGTCTGCGGGGCGGCCTTTCAAACGGCCGAGGAAGCGCACAGTGGCGCGGTGGCCGAGGTGCTCGACGCGTGCGCCGACGGAAAGGTCGGACATTGTTGGTGGAGTCGGTTGGCGGGTTTGGATGACGCTTTGTATGGTCGCTAAGCGGAATGTCGGTTCCATCGGCGGGGATTGAGACGGCGTAGTGGGCGCTTTTGTGGGCGTGGCCAGCTTGTCCGTGGGCGGGGTGGAGTTTCTTCCTATCGACACGCAGGTGATGAGGCTTCAAAAGTAGTCGATAAGGCTGTGGGATTGATGCATCACGGGTAGTGCTGACTCTCTACAGATAGTGCAGCTGTGTAGGCAGCTGTGTAGGTGAAGACTGTGTCCCGCGAAATTTGATGCGGGCAGTGAAACGTGTCACTACGCGTACGTGTACATGTGTATACGTGTACACTGCATCCGTAGGGACGGCAGAGTGGACTACCCTTCCCAGCACCTTCCCGTGAAAGCTGAAGCATTGGTAATAATATGTTTACTCGTCCTGCAACATTCACGCCGCATTCCTCAGGAACACGGGCGCGATAACTCAACAACAAATATTAAAAAAGATATATGCGTTGCTGCACCCCCCTGCTGCTAAGCCGGGCCGGCAACTAGGCCAGTTAATGAGAAACGGGGAGGGTGTGGTTGACCAACACTATACCTCTGGCGGGGTACCTTGGGTCGGGGTTCTCGTCATTGGGGATAACGTTCCACGCGATGGAGGTTCCCTGGTTGTGGCAATCCTGGTATCCGCTGAACCAGAGCATCTCTCCGGGGGTCTCCGGCATCCTGATGCGGAGGTTGAAGAGCTGGTAATAGTCATCCGGGAGGAAGCCGAGGTAGGTGACGGCTCTGATGTACTCGTGCACGGGGCCCGGCATGGGCGGCTTGGCCTCGGCCTTGTGGATGATGGTCCTCCAGTTGGGCGACTGCTCGACGCTGACGTACGCCAGACGCGGCGGTAGCTCGATCGTGAAATTGGTCGTGCCGATCGTGTCGTCGCCGCAGTCGTGCCCGATGCGCAGCGTGACGATGGCGGACTCGCCGATCTGCGCCTCGGTGGGCGTGAGACCCATGTGCGCGCGCGCGCACAGGGCGGCGGAGAGGACGGCGGCGATGAAGAGATTGAGCTTCATTTTGAGGTGCAGGAGTGCAGGAGTGGGGGGAAGTGGTGCTGGGAGAGGGAGGGGACGCAGGGCGGGCGGGCTTATAACAAAGTCTGGGAGGGGGAGGTATAAGCCGCGAAGGGCTGGGAAGGTCGTATGCTGGCGCGGCGACAGGCAGGCGAAGCTTCCGGCGACAGCACACCGTGCCGGTAGGTTGCGCAGTTGGCACTAAGAACAGGTGTACCTTCCCGATGAGTTGACAAGGCGGGGGCGGCCGGGTATGTACCGTACAATGTTGTACCGGACCCGGCGGGCGCGGGACTGTATGCCATAGGCGCGGGCGGGGACGGCGTGAGCACGCGGGTTGGCGTGGCGGGAGATTGGGGGGCGGCGGGGGAAGGGGAGGGGTGCGAGATCGTGCAACGGGGTGCGTGAGAGTGGGGCGGGTGGATTTTGCAGCGGGCGGCGGCACGGCAGCTGACGCGGCCGGATCGCGCGTAAACGCTGCGGACGGGCGTCGGGCGTGAGGACTGACGCAAAGGCGGCGCCGTGCATGTAACGGGCGATCGGTGAGGTAAGGGCGCGGCGGGGATACGGCGTGCACAGGGCGGAGGGCGAGGCGCGGCGTGCGCGGACGACTGTAGGGGCGCGGTGCGGCGGGTGGCGGTGCGGCAGGTGCCGGCTCTCTCAACCGCCTCTCTCTGGGAAATATCTCGGAGCCTAAACCGCCCCGATGCTGCAGCACGGCGCGTGCAAGATGAGCAGCTCCCGTCGGTAGACCCCGTCGGTACGGCAGCGGGCACACGTGGACACGAGGTGGAAAGAGCGCGGATTCATTCGATGGTTTGCACCAATTAGAGGCGGCCGCCTGGAGGATTCGTTGCGAGGCATGAGAGAGCCCCGCCGTTTTCGAGAAAATTTGAAAAAGGCTGAACCGGATTACCCGGAATTACACAGGCGGGATCGGGACTCCCGATCCAGCTGTGTAAAATGAAATTTGAAAAGGGCTGAATCATCTCCCATGCACTGTAAGAAGTGTAATTCCTCACTTCGCCAACCATTGCTTGCATCGCCAAAGATGCATCTTGCATCTCGTTCCTCTTCTTGCTCTCGTGCCTGTTGGCTTTTACCGCTAATTTGTACAGTACCCTTGGTACAGTACAGTAGCTGAAATGGCGCATGCGAAAAAGCATTCTCAATGTCGGCACCGCATGGAAACAGCCTGATTGTCCTTCCACCAGGATATATGTCTATCTGGAATATCGTATTACATTTAGTATGTAATAGTATGTAGTACTGTACGGCAGGTTGCATGGTGCCAGAGAAAGTATTCAGTCGAGGGTGTTGCTGGTGAGAAAGAGATGTGCGCAATTCTAGTAAGAATGAAGCGTACATGTATGGTGTGCGAGGAATGTGTCGACGTTTTTGCTCCCCTTCCATACCCTTAATAAACGTAAAGTGACGTTTAGTACTGTTGAAGGGTTGGCTGCTATAGGCATAACCATCTGGCTTGATACTGTATGTACGTATGTACTGCAGAGGCTGAAAGGGTCAACTACCGCTCCTGTCGACCACCCATTGTTCTATGACTTCGAATGTGTATGGCAAGCATCCTTTTCAAGGCAAGCATCAAAATCCCAAAACCTACGCAGCCCCCTGTCCACTTGCAATCCTCTAGACTGCTTCTTCTGTTGTGCCTCGCATGCCTGCCTTTTTTTTTTAGTCTTCACTGCTCTATACACATTGTGAATTGCTTCAATAGTTTTCGCCTAAAGGTCATCACGACCAAGGCTGTCCAGCCACCGCCATTTTCTAACGTCACAAACAACGACACACTCACGTGATCCTAACTTTCCAATTGACCCTCTATGGCTCATGGGATTACTGCAGATGCATGCTTCTGTGCGCGTACTATGAGCTGTCCTTCACCATTTCTCATTATATGAGAAATGGTGAATGACTCCATATTATGGAGTTGCACCGCTCCTGCTACCGGCTATGCCGCAATAGATAATGATTTGCGGATACAATTCAAATGCACCACAGTCACCCTTCGTGTAAAAGTAGGAATCAAGGCTTACTTGCCACGTTTCACTCAACTTATCGCCCAGCTAATTTTCAAGATCCCGTAACCTTCGCGCTATCTCATGCGTGAACGCAAACTCGGGGACAAAAACAACTGGTTTACCAAATAGCTCTCCACTTTCATAGGCAGATTAATCTGAGCACAACCGCCAGCCCCTAAACCCTAGAAGAAAAAACCGCTACTCAAACTACGGGGCAGCGTCGCATAGCCGGCTATTCTGCAGACAAGCGCTCCACACCCAGCCCGTTACACGTTGAAAGTCTCCAAAAAGGTCGTAAGTGCGTTCTTCAGAGAGCCATCCGTCTTGTCTGACACACTTCCCTCCTTCCTGATAGTCTCCAACAAATCGTTATGGTTTGCACGCATGTACTTGAGGTATGAAGTCTCGAATTCCTTGATCTTTCCAACCGGCATCTTGTCAAGGAATCCTCGAACACCTGCATACAAAGTCACAACCTGCTCCTCTGGTGGCATCGGAACAAACTGATCCTGCTTGAGCAACTCATTGAGGCGATCACCTCTGTTAAGCATTTGCTGTGTTGATGCATCAAGATCAGAACCGAACTGAGCGAACGCAGCAACCTCCCGATGCTGGGCCAGCTCCAACTTCATGGAACCAGCCACTTGCTTCATCGCCTTCATCTGAGCAGCAGACCCGACACGAGACACGGACAAACCGACATTAATAGCTGGACGTTGTCCCTTGTAGAACAGCTCAGTCTCCAAGAAAACCTGTCCATCAGTGATAGAAATAACGTTGGTCGGCACGTAAGCGGACACATCACCAGCCTGCGTCTCAATGATGGGGAGCGCAGTCAGGGATCCTCCGCCAACCTCCTTGTTCATCTTAGCGGCACGTTCAAGCAGACGGGAATGCAGGTAGAAAATATCTCCGGGGTAGGCTTCACGACCAGGAGGACGACGAAGAAGAAGAGACATCTGACGGTAGGCGACAGCCTGCTTGGAGAGATCGTCATAGACGATGAGGGCGTGCTTGCCATTGTCGCGGAAATACTCACCAATGGCGCAGCCAGCGTAGGGTGCGAGGAACTGCAGCGGAGCTGCATCAGAAGCAGTGGCAGCAACAATGATCGAATACTTGAGAGCGCCAGCTTCTTCAAGAGTCTTGGCAAGCTGAGCAACAGTTGACCGCTTTTGGCCGATGGCAACATAAACGCAGTATAGCTGCTTCTCGACATCACCGCTATCAAAATTCACCTTTTGGTTGAGAATTGTGTCAAGCGCGACGGCAGTCTTACCAGTCTGACGATCACCGATGATGAGCTCACGCTGGCCACGACCAATAGGGACGAGGGCATCAACGGCCTTGAGCCCGGTCTGCATAGGCTCATGCACACCCATACGGGGCATGATACCTGGGGCCTTCACCTCAACACGCTCGCGAGTGACGTTCTGGATGGGGCCCTTACCATCGATCGGGTTGCCAAGGGCATCGACGACTCGGCCAAGCATTCCACTACCGACGGGAACATCGACAATGGCACCAGTACGCTTGCAAGTCTGGCCTTCCGCGATTTCACGATCGTTTCCAAAGACGACAATACCACAGTTTCCGACTTCGAGGTTGAGAGCCATTCCCTTGAGACCCGACTCGAACTCAACCATTTCTCCTGCCTTGCAATTGTTGAGGCCATAGACACGCGCGATACCGTCACCAATAGAGAGGACACGACCGACCTCATCGAGATCGATCTTCTGCTGATAGTTGATAATGCGATCCTCGATGATGGAGGAGACCTCAGCTGGATCCATGGCGGCCTGGACCGGAGCCGAGGTCCGGAGGGTGGCGATCGGGGCGGAACGAGCACGCATTGGGACGGCGCCCGCACGAACGGCGGAGCGCACGCCAGTAAGAAGTCCGCGCATCATGACGGAACAGAAAGCCAAAGCAAGGGCGAGGAAGATGGGGTTGTCGCGAAGGCGGCAGGCAGACGTGGTGGGATGCAGGAACGAGGTGTGTGTGGCGATCGCAGCGAGTAGCGGTGAGAGACCTCGAGGGGCTTGCTGTGGATCGCATCCGAGCAACTGAAAGCCATCTGGTCCAAAGAGGCATTTGTGTGATAGCTATTGGATCCCATGCCGGCTGGCGTGCTCTCCTGCCAAAATCTCACAATAGCCCAATTTCTAATTTTTACTTCTTATTTTAGGCTTACAGTCACCCCGTAAAGAAGCATCAAGTAAGTGCTACGTTCCATATTGCAGTGTTTAATTTTTTCGCGCCCATCCTAATTGGAAAGTATCTGGTCATGAAAAGGCTCATCTGGTTTGACGGTCTCCTCCAAACGTACGGTGCGCAATCCTTCTTTTATCTGAATTCGATTTGTCATGTAGCGTTCCGAACATCCCGGCTCTGTCCCGAAGCTATGCGCTTCAAGGTCGAGAGCACTCTCGATCTACTTTTCTTTGAGGCGCCGTCAGATTGTACAATTTCCAATCCCTGGATCTTTTTAAGAAGATCTCGTCCCAGCTTTTGCACAGCAATGCTCGTCGATAGAAGGTTGAGCTGCAGCTCTACAACGTCCTTAAGCGCATTCATGGATAAGCCTATTCTCCTCTCATCATACTCTCCATGAATTCCATTGATAACGATTGCAAAAGCCTGCTCAGAAATCCCTGCGTTCTGCTGAAACCTCTCAATACTATCTACAGCGTATTTGAACACATTCCCGTTTTCAAGGAGCTGGCAATTCACCCCGCTCGTGTCCGAAACATTTCGAAACACTCGTAAACCAGATTCGATTACTTCTGCCTCGTCCTCTAGATCAGTCAACACCTTCATAATATCACCAACTCCCCCGCATCTGGCAATAACCTCCTTATTTGCATCAGGACCGAAAGTAGCGTTCGTAAGAGCCTGCAACACTGTTACTACGTCACCTCTCTCCCCATTCTTGGACACGGGTTCCAAAATGCTTAGCAACAGAATAAGAGCCCCATTCCTTCCTATTGCTTCTCGTGTCTCTTCTTCAAAGCATATGTATCGCAAGGTTGAGCACAACATGACAATCAGTTTGGTTTCTGTTCTGTACTTTCGCAGTATCTCGGTCAGCAACTCAACACCCCCCGATTGCCTTACTGCTCTCTGGTTACTGCTGTTGTCCTTGCATACCTCTTTTATGGCCACGACGCATCTCTCCTGAACAGTAACGCTTTCTGAAAACCGTTTCATTGTATCAACAATCACATCAATGCACCCGCAGTCCCTCAGTTTCTTTTGATAATCGAGACCTGCGCACGCGACATTTCCAATAGTTGAAATCCCGTCTGTTTGCAGAGCCTTATTCCAGTAAAACCTTTTTAGAGATCGTTGCAAAACTGCCGATATCCCACATTCTCCCGCTACTTTTTGGTTTTCTTCGCAATGCTGCGTCAAATGCTTCAGGGCATTACAGGCCGAGCATTGTATTTCTTCTTCGTATTCGCACCGACTCATGAGGGCAATGAGCATCTCGATCCCTCGGCCACGGCTGATTCTCTTCTTGTTTTCTAATGAGTCGCGTGCCGCAGTTGCCAGAAGCAGGTTTCCCCTGCATAACAGCCGAGAAGAATTTGGGAAGTTTCGCATCGCTGTCATGGCGGCTTGAAGGCATCCACTCTCGCCAACAAGCGTCCTTTCTTCTTCTCTTCCAGACATGCGAATGAGAGACAGAATTGCTCTCACCTGCAAATCTTCATCGTTGGCATTCGCAAGCATCGAGTCTAGTAGAATGACAACAGCCTGGTGTGGTTCTGGGCGACTGTATACAGGATCTGCAACGACTGTACTTTTTTCGCTACCTTTCCCAGAATCCAATGTGTCACTCGCTTTCCATCTCATGTTTTCCATGTGTTCCTGGGCAGCCACTTCTCAATCTTTCAAGAGAAACAGAGTTGTGTGAGCTGCGTCGCTTGTCTGAGCTCATAAGCAAGAGTGTAACTTGCATATATGTTCCCCGCCTGTAGTGAGATCTTTTCCTTCTCTAGTTATCCAACTGTATATGATATACTTGACAATTTCGTTTTTACTGAAGGCATGTCACGTTTAAAGCCTGCCCTTACATTGTATGCAAGTCTCCTTCAGAAGGGACTGTAGGTTCATTGCGTACGTCAGCTGTCAACGTGGTACATTTAATCTTGGTTCCACCACAACAAGCGTTGAAACGTGAAGGGATGATTTACTCAGTTCGCATCTGCATCGGAATCGATAGTCGCTTGAATTGAGTGCGTGACGTAAATTCTGCCACAGGGATAACTAAAGACCTCTCTGAGCATCGGGTTCTCCCTGGTTGTAAATAAAGTTTTTTATCATACGCGATATGCACCGTGATTTTAATACAATTCTCAATAAACTCAATTACAGTAGGGGCAAAAGAAGCCATTGAATTTCTTGAAAAACTCAAAGTATTGCAACCTATCACAGCACTCCGCCTGTCCAGTCCAAATATCCGTCAACAAGTAAACATTTACTTGCCAACAAGTAAACATTTACTTTCCACGGGGTAAAAATTGACCCCCGATCAACAAGTAAACATTTACTTGCCACTGGGTAAACATTGACCAACCGTCTAATTTTCTAGTAAACATTTACTTGCCACTGGGTAAACATTGACCACCCGTCTAATTTTCTAGTAAACATGTTCCCGCTACTGGGCAAATCAATATGAGAATACCATTTCCACTGCTGCATGCGCATGGACACTCTATATTACCTATGTACCGCACTTGATCTTCTGGATGATATAAACTGGACTGTTTTCGGTAGTGAAAAATCGATACAATCTTGGTAAATCATACAAATAGATGAAGTTTTAACAATTCTCATGAGTTCGATCTGTAAAGTCCAGTTCTCTACCATTGGTGAAGCTGTCACGGATTACGCTGCGCTAATGAGATTAAATTACTTAGTAATAAAGCGCAAATGAGAAGGCAACATCCTGCAAACTTTAATATACTTAATGCGACTTCAAGATAGTGAGTGTTTTTCTATGGCAAAGACGCTTGATCGTGGCGACATACATACTGTGCTCTCTTCATGTGTATTGAAACTCCAAAAAGGACCCAAAACTCATTATGAGATTTGGAAGGCCGAAAAGGGACCCAAAACTCATTATGAGTTTCGAACCCCCACAAAAAGGTATTTGAAACTCATTATGAGTTTCGAATACCAAAAAAAGGGGTTCGAAACTCATAATGAGTTTCGAACCCCCAAGAAAAGGTATTCAATATTCAAAATGAGGTTGACACTACATATTCCGTAAACAGGTTAACATTTGCCTGCTGCTCACTTAACATTAACCACCTCAGCAAAGGACAAATGCAAACATCGACCCTGAAAACAGGTGGCTTACTCAATTCATGAGTATAGGACCCATGAAACAGGGCGTTCCATACTCGAAGTGGTAGTTTAGTCAGTCTTTTAACAGGACTATACGCTTTTTCAAAGTCCGTAGGTCGCTGGGTGATCTTCAGAAGAAATATGGGACTCAATAGGATAGCACAGATAGCTTCAACACATAAGTCTCGATACCATTTTACTTTCGTGCCTACTCAGAGATCTCTATCAGAAGCATCAACATCAATACAGTTTACGGCAGAATCATTCTTTTCCAAGCCTTGAGCATTCTTGATATCGTCGCCACTCGTTTTAATTTTCAAGAACAACGTCGAGATAACTTTGCGCAGGAGAAGATCCTGTGTTACTTCCTTCAGGCAACTCAGAATCTCAATTCGGGCATCAAATGCTGATAACGCATTTTCAACTTTCATTGTCAGATCGGTAAGCTTTTCCATCTGTACAGCTGAAGCTTCTTCGACAATTTCGTTCATTGCCTCAGCTACATTCTTCTGAATCATTTTCATTTCCAACAAGTCTCCCTTCATTGTGTTCCGACTTTTATGCTTCGTGTCTGAACGAGATACGGAGGCTTTAATTTTTCTTTCGGAACTGCCTGGGATATTACCAAGAAACTTGGATCTCTTCTGTTTTTTCTGCGGAGATTTCGATCCAGATGGGGCAACCAAAGAGTCAAACCGCTGTCGCTTGCGAAGGATGTTGTACGCGCCAACCCCGCTATCCAATCCAAGCGATTCCTCGACTGAAATGTTGTCGAGGTCTTCGAGTCGTTTGGCGGCAATGGCTGGATTAATCTGCACGCCACAGATGTGATGTCCTCTCCTATTTTGGCTCTCAACGATGTTTGTGTCCTGAAATCCAGTGCGGAAATTTTGATCAGCCATATTTGAAAACGCTGTAATTGCCAACGTCTTGAAGGGGTATTTTAGTACCCAATCTGCCCAAGACCTGTCCAGCGATCTGACGTAGTCCAGAGCCTCGTTTGCCTCCATAACGCTTCTGCAGTTGCGCATTTTCATCATCGTTCTATAGAACACATCTCTGATATTCACCGGTAGTCGGGCCGCTCGTCGCCTTGCATCCCTGTCAAAATGAACAGTACAACCAATCATGATGTTTTCCACATGCATACGTGCTGAACCTCCGATTGTCGATTGAAGGGCCAGGGCAATTCCTTCTATTTCGGCGGCATCGAAGTCAGTAGTTATTGACCTGATTTCGATGCACCGGATCCCGCATTGGTCTACATTGAACACGTATGGTACGCGTATTAAGCATAAACTTTGCGGCGCACTCACAGCTCTTCTCCAGTATGTCTGCATGTGATCCAGGAACAGTTTCCATCCCATACAGTACGAATCACGCGTAAGTCGGTTCATCATGAATCTGGCGACGACAATTCCCTTCGTTCCTGATAGGCCGGGATGAGCTTGTGCTACAACATTGTATAAATACCACGAAACTTTAGCCGACAATCGAAATGGCTTGAAACTTTCTTTTGTCGACATGACAACCTTCACCATAGAAACGTCATTTT